AATAACTGAACATGCTATATATATGGACTTTGCAAATGTTTGCACCTGTCCTAAGTCAGGAATCTGATGTACTGTAGTTGTCGTCTGTTTATGTAGTTCATACGTGTTTCTCGTTTCTCGTTTTTATATAGATTAGACCGTTGGCTTTCCCGTTTGAATGGTTTTACACTAGTAGTTTTTGGGGCCCTTTATAGCTTGCTGTTCGGTGTGAGCCAATGCTCCGTGTTGAAGGCCGTACCTTGACCTATAATGGTTTACTTTTATAAATTGTTACGTGGATGGAGAGTTGTCTCATTGGCACTCATACCACATCTTCCTATATCTATTTTCAAGTTTAAGTTACATATACACTCACATAAATTTGAAGAAAAAAACTAAAGCAAAGGAATTGTGCGTGTATTTGTTGTTCATCATCTCAAAGTAACCGAAAGAGGCCTTTACACACAGGCTTCCTGTTTATGTTATTGTTGTTACTTGTGACCCGTGGTTTCAAGTTATATTTTTGAAAGACCATGGTTTCTGGATATCCATGGTTAATCCCCTTACCGTTTTCTTCTAGATATAATTCAAATGGGTCATGGTAAAATTACTTATAGTCCTGCTCAGTGCAGTGAGTGGTCCTAGTTATTTGCTACAATTGCTTAACATACCTTTTTTTTATCAAAAGACTTTACGCATCTGTATATGTTTCTACAGACTAAGCCTAAGTATCAGCATTGAAGTTGTGATTACTTGTACCATGGACGTATTATCAAGCTATAGTCCCTAAATCCCATGTATAAAATCACTGTTATCCAGTATATTAATTCGGAATTTGTGCAATTTTCTTGTTTCTGTGTTATAAGAGGCGGTTTCAGGGTCTGAAGAAGGGGTGTGTAATCATTGTACATAATGGTAAAAAGTATTGCCTATCGTAATCATTACAGTCAGTATGATAGTTGTGTGAAAGGACGAATGAAAGTAGTTAAATTGTATATCTCAGTATTTGTTATGATTTATATGTCTGTCTTTTGGCCCTGTGATTAGGTTAAGAATTTGAATTTGTGACGAATCGATTTTTTTTCGACGAATTTCCAATCAAAAGGGGTTGAACGTTTTCTATGACCACCATTCAAAAGTAATTCATGACAAGTAATCAGCAAAAAGGAAGATGTAAACCTAAACAGTACACCTTCTAAAATTAAAATATTCAGGAAAAGAACTTGCATGCACAGTAAATTGAAAATTATCCAATCCAGACCAATATCTGTTGGTCCAAGTTTAAAGGTGCATTAATTATCTGTCAAATTCACGTTCACCGATTTGACTAAACTTTTCATATTTTATTTCCAACTAAAAGTCAAAAAAGAAATTATTAACAATGCATGGAATCGTTATAAAGTATCAGTATTTCGTGTGTATTTTAGAATATAGACGCATGCATCTAATTAACAGTCAGGATTCACTCTGTCAAAATTATCTCCCATGCATTACGCCAGTTCATTTTTACGATTGTAAAAATGGAAGCCATTGTAGGGATGACGCGCTGCCAATTTAGCTCTTGAAAACCGATAAATTTATCCACATAGCACCATTACGATCCTTGTATGCCAGTTGTATTTTAAAAGACAAATGTATCTACTAGCTAATGAGCATCAGTTAATGTACTTGTCTACATTCAGTCAACTTAACTCTATTGTCTGATCGGTTGGCAGGTGGAATTTTCGAAAATTCATAAACATCTAAAAAAATTCTAATTCAATATTTCGTGGAAGGGCAGACTAAAAATTTTAGTGGTTGAAGACTATAAACCCTAGATATCACACACAAAAAATGAAGTTTTTTCGAAGATATGCATTTTTAAGATCCAACTTAAAAGTCTGTCGTCAAGTATTTTTAGTAAAAATTTGCTATTCGAACACACCTATTCTGTTTCTGTGATTCTTTAGAAAGGTATTTCACTTGACCCATATATTTCATTTTTTTAGTACTGTGTATTTTCAATGTTATAGAATAAGAATAAGAATATTTTATTTCCAATTAAAGGGCCCTATAAAGAGCTTTCATCACATTACATACAAGTACATAAGATTAGACATAAATTAGAGACATATAAGAAAACAACATCGTTTAATACTATTAAAAAATGCTATAAAAGGCCAGGACAGAACCAGATAATACAATTCACATCTTTGAAATACACCATTCAAAATCATATACCACTCAAAATATGTGTATTTGTGGCTAATTTGATTGTCAAATCAGGATCGGACTATGCATACATTGGTGAATCATTTGGACATCTTCCTGCATTTCTGGATTTCTTATTTACACCTAGTACATATTTCATAAATTTGATATGTGATTTTTCAGATGTATCATTTGAAAACACCTTTTCTAAAATATCTTGATCATTTTTCTTACATGTTGGATCTTATAGTCAACCTGTAGCCTTGGTATATAAAAATGATAGAATCTGAAGCGAGATGATGTATCAAATACTTTTGCTTTTTACGTTTTCAAGACAAAATATTCAACTCAAACACGCCCTAACATAAAAAGGTGCACTCGATTTTCTCTTTTCGATGCAATTGTTTCCCATTTTTTGGAATTATTTCTTGAGTCACATAATGGAAGGACAGAAGCGAAAATGAAGGAACAAATAGATTGATATGTTCTCTGTCCGTGGTATTTTTATTTTTTAAATTGGAGGTTATGCATTTTTTAGATCCAACTGAATAGACACCCATGTCGTGGACTTGATATCTAATTGTTCTGCTTAATTATGTAATAGATAAATTGAAAACTTATGCAAATGGTGTTTTTATGATAAAATACTTCGTAATTTAGCCGAAAACTGTAAATTTTTTTTGTTTCTATTAACTTCTTCGATTCTTTTGTGATATTTCAACTGGGTTTCCGCCTGATTAACCATCGAGACAACCTATACGACAAATGCCGATGTAAACATAAATAGAAATAAACAGACAAGCACGTGCAATTCTGAATGACGATTTTTCTAGGTCTGCTTGACGTATGTTTTGTCAAAGATTAGATACTATGTAAATCATCTTTGTATTTGTATAAAAATGATTTTTTTAAAGGGGGTCATTCAGTCAACGAAATGGTTCTCTCCAACGACATTTTTAACCGGATTTCCAAAAGAAAATATCGGTTATTGGTTTGGTGATGTACGACGGGCGGATGGCTGCCAAACAGTGTCCGTGCAATAACTTGAAAACGCTTGACGAAAGCTTTTCAAATTTAGATATGCTCTTTCCTGTGACAAAATGAAAGTCTAGATCGATTTTCACAATTTTGGCTTTTATCGTTGTTGAGTCGTAGACCTGTAAGTAGCTAAAGTGATACTTAAAGCGTTGTCCGTGCAATAACTTTAAAACGCTTTGGCGGCGAAATCTTTAAAAGTTTTTAGATATGTTATTTCCTGTGACTAAAAGAAGATCAACTTCGATTTCCACGATTTTAGCTTTTATCGTTGTTGAGTTGTAGACCTTTAAGTAGCGAAAAGTGATACTTAGAGCGTTGTCCGTGCAATATCTTCAAAACGCTTTGACGAAATGATTTTAAAAATTTAGATATGTTGTTTCCTGTGACTAAAAGAAGGTCAAGTTCGAATTTCATGATCATTCTTCCATCGGCCATGCATATATTACAAGACAAAAACCGTTTGAAAGTGGGTTTCTGGAAGGTTAACTAAGTGACCAGAAGATTCTATGGATTTCATATCAAATAAAGCTATAATCTCATAATCTCATAAACATATTTCTTTCATTACCGACTTCATGATTTCTTCATATACCCACCCCCTGCTGAACAAATGTGTGTGTACTTATATACTCTCTTAAATTCAAATATTTATATTTCTCTTATGATAAATAGGTCAAGATTGATTTTGTTCTTTCCATTTCTGAACCCTACAAAAAATCTTTTTTTTTATTTGATCCTGTTTGGGGTTCAGATTTGCAAATATCATTTTCATGCAAGAAAATCCGGTTTGCTGTCAATCTGACAGCCTTTTGTTCGATGTTGACATTGGTTTTTTTCCAATAACTGAACACGTTTAGCACATACGTTACCATCTTCGCTAGCCAAGGGTTACGATCCACTTCCCTGAGAGGAGGGAAGTGGATCGTAACCCTTGGCTAGCGAAGATGATACGTTACCCACCTCCAGATAAGTTTTTGTTAGCTTATTATGACAAAACGACAAAACGGAACCGAACCATGACTGCTAATACGGATATATTATTCCAATTTCATACCTGCTCAATTTTCAAAATTTCCAGGGGGTGGGGGTTGAGCGCAAGATAACCCAATATAATGCTTCTCTTATATTGTCATAAATGTTTTTAATCTGATCTAATCTACTACTCTATTGTTTGAATGAGTATGTATGTGCTTAAATACCCTTTTTAACTTATTTGAATACAAGTTTTGAGGTGTTCAGTTTATATAATCAGGGAAATATTATATAGTCAATATAATACTTCCATGATATAATAAAGAATTTCAAACTTGATGCATGTCAACACTTCTCATTGGGGATTTCCCCCTAAATCGTTGCGGCAGGTCTGTTTTCATCGTCCCGCTTTTTCAGGTTTACACCAAACAAACAAATCCTAATTTTTATATTAACAGTTTATGCCTATTTCTGTGACCTAGGATTTGTTAAGTATATCTACTGTATACAAATCCTTCTTGTGACCATAGATTTGTATAGTTAGATCCTCAGAGACATATATATGTCTCTGGTTTAGACTATATTCCTATATTGTTGTGACTAAAAAAATATAAATTCTTGAAAAATGTGATATAATTTTCCTCATTTTCAATTATTATATTTCTTAATTAGTTTGCTTCTTTTTTCTTCTTTTTTGGTTTGTGTGTGTTACAAGCTTGTTTACCACTTCTTGATGATGCAATGTATTCATGAATGAATAAAGGCAATGTGCGTAAATGGTAGTAAAACTAACCTACTTTGTTTGATTGGATAATAGTAGGACAGATCACGTGACGTCAACAAACATACACAGGAAGCATGTTTTCTCGATAGTTTCATCATCGTCCCGCGCTATGTGGTGATCGACGACCAAATACTTCATGTGGATGATAAAATTAGATAGAAACACAGCTTATCAGATATATCGAAGAACTTAGGAGTTTTATTTTTTGTCTGTTAGTGTTTTGCTCACCAAGAGTTAACAAGTGAATGTTGTTATCGTATATAAATTAACTACACGTGTTAACAAAACCAACATGACAAAAACCAGTAATCTTGTGAATGGAACTCGATCGTCTGTTTCAGACTCGTCGAGTGATTCAGGCAGTGCTATTAAATTGAAAAAAGAACTTGGACTACACAATGGAGTGGCAATCATTGTTGGTGTAATTATAGGAAGTGGGATTTTCATATCACCCAAAGGAGTTCTACTTGAATCTGGTTCAGTTGGACTGTCGCTCATAGTTTGGCTCATTTGTGGACTAATTTCGTTAGTAGGGGCAATATGTTATGCAGAACTTGGTACAATGATTGTCAAATCAGGATCGGACTATGCATACATTGGTGAATCATTTGGACATCTTCCTGCATTTCTGTATTTGTGGGTAGCTCTCGTGGTAATTATCCCCTGCGGTAATGCCATAGGGGCCTTGACATTTGCAGCATATGTTTTGGAACCAGTGTTCCCATGTGATGGTGGACCCCCAGAGACAGCGATGAGATTATTAGCAGCTCTTTGCATTAGTAAGTATATCCATATGATTACACACATCTCAGCTTGATGTCCATCATGATCATCTGGGACTCCCAATGGGGGACTATTAAAAAATAGTCCCAGTGGCAGTGGTCACTAATCAAGCATCAAAAAGATACTGTGTATATATCAAAGGGCTGGGGTGTCTTCCTGTCTCATGTAGTTCACTTATCTCTATTATGAATTAATTTCTCATGTCATTGTCGAGCCTTCGACTTTTGTCGAAAAAGCGAGACATAGCGATCCTACATGTCGTCGGCGTCGGCGGCGTCCACAAATATTCACTCTGTGGTTAAAGTTTTTGAAATTTTAATAACTTTCTTAAACTATCCTGGATTTCTACCAAACTTGGACAGAAGCTTGTGTATGATCATAAGATTATATTCAAAAGTAAATTTTGTAAAAAAAAAATTCCATTTTTTCCGTATTTTACTGATAAATGGACTTAGTTTTTCTGCCAGGAAACATTACATTCACTCTGTGGTTAAAGTTTTTGAAATTTTAATAACTTTCTTAAACTATCCTGGATTTCTACCAAACTTGGACAGAAGCTTGTTTATGATCATAAGATTATATTCAAAAGCAAATTTTGTAAAAAAAAAAATCCATTTTTTCCGTATTTTACTTATAAATGGACTTAGTTTTTCTGCCAGGAAACATTACATTCACTCTGTGGTTAAAGTTTTTGAAATTTTAATAACTTTCTTAAACTATCCTGGATTTCTACCAAACTTGGACAGAAGCTTGTTTATGATCATAAGATTATATTCAAAAGCAAATTTTGTAAAAAAAAAAATCCGTTTTTTCCGTATTTTACTTATAAATGGACTTAGTTTTTCTGCCAGTTAACATTACATTCACTCTGTGGTTAAAGTTTTTAAAATTTTAACAACTTTCTTAAACTATCCTGGATTTGTGCCACACTTGGACAGAAGCTTGTTTATGATCAAAAGCTAGTATCTAGAAGGAAATTTTGATAAAATTTTGTTCCATTTTTTCCGTATTTTACTTATAAATGGACTTAGTTTTTCTTCCAGTCAACATTACATACAGTCTGCAGTTTAAGTTTTTAAAACATTTATTAGATTCATAAACTATCCTGGATTTTTACCAAACTTGGACAGAAGCTACTTACAATCAAAAGATAGTATAATAATATTTTTTTTTTTTTTTCCTCATTTTTGTTGAGCCTGAGATTAACAGCAAAAGTAGGCGAGACACTGGGTTCCGTGGAACCCTTACGAATTTTTTTAATTAAGGTTGCGTTTAACAAGAATTTTCAAATGTTTATTTTAATGAAGGATATAAATTTATTCTTCTTGTTTTATTTGAAAAAGTATTTGGATGAAATTGTTTGTAGATTGCAAATGTCAGAGTGCTAATTTTTTTGAAAGTTTATAAGAACAAAATTTAAAGAATCACAAGAGAGATATAATTTTAGCCTTCAATGTGATTTAAATGAATTGGAAGCCCATGTCTGTTCATTTACAATCTACATTTATATTTGTATGATCTTGTATCATGAGAATAAAAACATATATGTGGATATAATTCCAAATTAGACAATGTTAGACAATTCTGTTAAAAAGATAGACTGCAATAATCCTTTAATAACTGAACTTGTATATAAAGTTTGTTACTCCAATTATTGAAAAGTCTATTTTAAATATCCATCAATCATTTAAGAGTTAATGTACAAATACGTTTCAAATAAATGATTAATTCTAAAGATTTAAAAAAAAAAAGAATAAATGTCTTTAATGAGTTTTTTCCCAAAAAATGACTGGTTAATAAGTTTTTTTCCAAAAGAAGTATTCTTTTTTTATTAGTTTTAGAACTTGAGGATTTCTGTACTGTTATTGTATTGTACCTTTAAAAAAAAATGTTAAAAGTTTTTGTAAAAGACTACAATATTTTAAGGAATAGAGCTAATCTTGATCCTTCAATTTTGTCGAGCCTTCGACTTTAGTCGAAAAAGCGAGACATAGCGATCCTACATTCCGTCAGCGGCATCCACAAATATTCACTCTGTGGTTAAAGTTTTTGAAATTTTAATAACTTTCTTAAACTATCCTGGATTTCTACCAAACTTAGACAGAAGCTTGTTTATGATCATAAGATAGTATCCAGAAGTAAATTTTGTAAAAATAAAATTCCATTTTTTCTGTATTTTACTTATAAATGGACTTAGTTTTTCTGCTGGGAAATTTTACATTCACTCTGGTTAAAGTTTTTAAAATTTTAATAACTTTCCTAAACTATCCTGGGTTTCTACCAAACTTGGACAGAAGCTTGTTTATGATCATAAGATAGTATCCAGAAGTAAATTTTGTAAAAAAAAAAATCCATTTTTTCCTTATTTTACTTTTAAATGGACTTAGATTTTCTGCCAGGAAACAACACATTCACTCTGTGGTTAAAGTTTTTAAAATTTTAATAACTTTCTTATACTATTTTTGATTTGTACCAAACTTGGACAGAAGCTTGTTTATGATCAAAAGCTTGTATCTAGAAGGAAATTTTGTAAAAAAATAAATCTATTTTTTCCGTATTTTACTTTTAAATGGACTTAGATTTTCTGCCAGGAAACAACACATTCACTCTGTGGTTAAAGTTTTTAAAATTTTAATAACTTTCTTATACTATTTTGGATTTGAACCAAACTTGGACAGAAGCTTGTTTATGATCAAATGCTAGTATCTAGAAGGAAATTTTGTTTTCTTCCAGTTAACATCACATTCAGTCTGCAGTTAAAGTTTTTAAACATTTATTAGATTCATAAACTATCCTGGATTTTTACCAAACTTGGACAGAAGCTTCTTACAATCAAAAGATAGTATCAAGAGGAATATTTTTATTGATTACCTTCCTCATTTTTGTTGAGCCTGCGATTAACAGAAAAAGTAGGCAAGACACTGGGTTCCGCGGAACCCTTACAAATTTTTTAGCTCTACCCTCTTCTATCGAACCATGTTTATTTGAGTATTTTAAAGGTTCAACTTATTTTCTATTTAAAGTAAAATTAATGTATATTCCAAATATCACCTTTTTGTTACAGGAAGACGAAAGAAAAATTTTCAAGGGTGGAGCTTGTAAAGTAATTATTTTATCAGTCGGTGAATATCAATGAAGCCCCCCTTTTGAATTTTTTTTTTAAATTCCCTATTAATCTAATTACATGTAAGCCACCATCCTTCAAAATAAAAATCTAGGGAAAACACTGTAAAAAGGTAATGTAAAAATTGTAATTTCTTGACTTTTTATCTCTTTTTTTTCTTCAGCAATTCTCACCTACGTCAACTGTAAAAATGTGAAATCAGCAGCCTTAATTCAGGATATCTTCACAGCAACCAAAATCATTGCCCTCGTCATGATCATCATCATTGGTATTGTCTTTATGTTCAAAAGTAAGTAAAAATATCATTTACTTTTAGTTCCAAGATACATGTATGTCAGGAAAAAATGTCCTTTGAAAGAATGATGTAAAATGTCCTACAGTTTGTACCCTAAAAATGTAATTGCAGTTTTCAAACATAATTATTGAATTCTGATTTTTATACGACCGCAAAAAAATTTTGAGGTCGTATATTGGTATGACGTTGGCGTCGTCGTCGTCGTCGTCGTCCGGCGTCGTCGTCCGAATACACAATGGTTTTCGCACTCTAACTTTAGTTTAAGTGAATGGATCTCTATGAAATTTTACCATAAGGTTCAATACCACAATAGGAAGGTGGGGATTGATTTTAGGGGTTATGGTACCAACTGTTAAGGAATTAGGGGCCAAAAAGGGGCCGAAAATAAGCATTTTTGTAACTTCCAGTCATAACTTGTGTGTTAGCATATGGATCTCTTTGACATTGTACCACAAGATTCCATATCACAAAGGGTCTATGCTGGGATTGATTTTGGGGTTAATTGCCTCAAAATTTTAGGAATAAGGGGCCAAAAGGGGGCAAAAAACAAGCATTTTTCTAGTTTCATGACAATAACTTGTGTGTAAGTGTATGGATCTTTCTGAAATTTTACTACACGGTTCCATTTCACAAAGGGAAAGCTGGAATTGAGTGTTGTGGGGATAATTGCTCAAAACGTTTAGTAATAAGGGGCCTAAAAAGGGGTTTAAAATAAGCATTTTTTAGTTTCTAGACAATAACTTGTGTTCAAGTGTATGGAGACTCTCTAAAATTGTATTACAAGGTACCATACCACAAAGGCAAGGCTGTTATTGAGCTTGGTTTGGGGGGAAAGGGGGGTGGGGGGTGATGAATCATAAGGGGGGCGGGGGTCAAAAAAGGGGTAATTTTTTTTTTTCCTTTTTTTTTTTGTTTAAAATTTACATTTTAAGTTAGTTATTTTTTATCACGAAGAGAAAGTAGGAATTGAGTTTTGGGGTTAATTGCTCAAACATTTATGAATAAGGGGCCGAATATTGGTCGAAAATAAGGATTTTTTTAGTTTGCAACAAAAACTTGTGTTCAAGTGTATGGATCTCTGTGAAATTGTATTGCAATGTACCATACCACAAATTGAAGGTTGTGATTGAGGTGGGGGATGATGAATCAAAAGGGGGTTGAAAAAATGTGTGGGGGGTAGGATTTTTTTTTTTCCTTTTTTTTTCTTTAAAATTCTCCAATTAAAGATGGTTGTTTCAGATTTATATATGAAAGAAAATAATAATGATACGGTTATATATCATGAGGAACTGAAATTTAAAATTATGTATATTGGAAATTTAGGTTACATTGGAAAGTAATAATTGGCTTTGGGGGGGGGGGGGGGGGGGGGGGGGGGGTGGTTATGGCTCTAATGTTTAAGGAATAAGGGGAAAAAAGGTTAAAAAACAAGGGTTTCCATTTTAATAGACAAATAATTGAGTAAAGAACATTATTTAAAAGCAGTGTAAGGTTGGTAATTCAAACTCATTTAAATATCTCATCTACACTGCTTTTAAATTATGTAAATTGGAAATTTGCCAATAACTTTATTGTTAATAAATGCATTAGAAATTTGCCAACAATTTTAGTGTAATAAACTTCATTGGAAATTTGCCAATATAAAATTTTGCTGATGAAGGTTTTTTGTTTACCTTTAGCCTTGACTATGAAGTCATTTTCTATTTTTATAGCCTTATGATGTAGTTGAATTATTTAATACTTTTATGATGTGTTTAAATGGGGTTTTATCATGTTTATGGTTGCAAATTTATTGTTTTAGTATAATAAACTCCATTTAAAATTTGCCAATAAAAAAATTTTTGTTTATTTTTAGCTATGATTATGATGTCATTTTCTATTTTACTTTTATGGTTGCAAAGAAATTTTTATTTTTAGATATTACTGTTAAATGATGCTGATTAAGGTTTTTGCTATGTTTAGCCATGACTATGATGTCATTTTCTATTTTAATATCTGTTATGATGTATTTAAATGGGCTTTTATGGTTACAAAGGAATTTTATTTTTAGATATTACTATAAAATGTTGCTGATGCTGATTAAGGATTTTGTTTATTTTTAGCCATGACTATGATGTCATTTTCTATTTTAATACCTTTATGATGTAATTTCCATTTTTATACGACCGCAAAAATTGAAAATTTTTTGGTCGTATATTGGTATGACGTTGGCGTCGTCGTCGTCGTCGTCTGGCGTCGTCCGGCGTGGTCCGAAGACACATTGGTTTTCGCACTCTAACTTTAGTTTAAGTGAATGGATCTCCATGAAATTTTACCATAAGGTTCAATACCACGAAAGGAAGGTTGGGATTGATTTTGGGGGTTACGGTACCAACAGTTAAGGAATTAGGGGCCAAAAAGGGGCCAAAAATAAGCATTTTTGTAACTTCCAGACAATAACTTGTGTGTAAGTGTATGGATCTCTCTGACATTGTACCACAATGTTCCATATCACAAAGGGAAGGCTGTAATTGATTTTGGGGGTAATTGCCTCAAAATTTTAGGAATTAGGGGCCAAAAAAGGGGCAAAAAACAAGCATTTTTCTAGTTTCATGACAATAACTTGTGTGTAAGTGTTTGGATATTTCTGAAATTGTACTACAAGGTTCCATATCACAAAGGGAAAGCTGGAATTGAGTTTGTGGGTAATTGCCCGAAACGTTTAGGAATTGGGGGCCAAAAAGGGGCCAAAAATAAGCATTTTTCTAGTTTCCAGACAATAACTTGTGTTCAAGTGTATGGATCTCTCTGAAATTGTACTGCAAGGTACCATACCACAAAGGGAAGGCTGGGATTGAGTTTGGGGGTGATGAATCATAAGGGGGTTCAAAAAATTTGGGGGGGGGGGATTTCTTTTTTTTTCTTTTTTTTCTTTTTTTTTTCTTTTAAAATTTTCCATTTTAAGTTGGTTATTTCTGATTAATATTTAAAAGCAAATAATAATGATATGGTAGGAGATACACACCAAACAGGATGTGTAAATTATTATGTAATAAGTATTGTGCAATAGCAAGAAATTTTCAATTGCACAGTATTGCACAATTGCAAGAAATCTTCAATTGCACAGTATTGCGCAATAGCAAGAAATCTTCAATTGCACAGTATTGCGCAATAGCAAGAAATATCCAATAGCACAATATTGCGCAATAGCAAGAAATTGTCAATTGTACAGTATTGCACAATAGCAAGAAATTTTCAATTGCACAGTATTGTGCAAAAGAAGATACTTCGTATAAATTGCTAATTTCTTGATCAATTTCAATGGGGTTTTATTCTTGAATTCTTGGGGTTCTTTAATATGCTGAATCTAACCGTGTATTAAGTTTTTGGATTTTGGGCCCCGTTTTTAAATTGGTCCACATTGAGGTCCAAAGTGTCCAAAATTTAACTTTGTTTAATTTCATCAAAAATTGAATTATTGGGGTTCTTTGATATGCCGAATCTAACCGTGTATTTAGATTCTTAATTTTTGGTTCCGTTTTCAAATTGGTCTACATTAAGGTCAAAAGGGTCAAAAATTAAACTTAGTTTGATTTTAACAAAAATTGAATTTTTAGGGTTCTTTGATATGCTGAATCTAAACATGTATTTAGATTTTTGATTATGGGCCCAGTTTTCAAGTTGGTCCAAATCGGGGTCCAAAATTAAACTTTGTTTGATTTCAACAAAAATTGAATATATGGGGTTCTTTGATATGCTGAATCTAACCATGTATTTAGATTTTTGATTTTTGGGCCCCGTTATCAACTTTGTCCACATTGAGGTCAAAAGGGTCCAAAATTAAACTTTGTTTGATTTCTTCAAAAATTGAATTATTGGGGTTCTTTGATATGCTGAATCTAACCATGTATTTAGATTTTTTATTTGTGAACCCGCTATCAAATTGGTTCATATTGAGGTCAAAAGGGTCCAAAATTAAACTTTGTTTGATTTCATCAAAAATTGAATTATTGGGGTTCTTTGATATGCCGAATCTAACCGTGTATTTAGATTCTTAATTTTTGGTTCCGTTTTCAAATTGGTCTACATTAAGGTCAAAAGGGTCCAAAATTAAACTTAGTTTGATTTCAACAAAAATTGAATATATGGGGTTCTTTGATATGCTGAATCTAACCATGTATTTAGATTTTTGATTTTTGGGCCCCGTTATCAACTTTGTCCACATTGAGGTCAAAAGGGTCCAAAATTAAACTTTGATTGATTTCATCAAAAATTGAATTCTTGGGGTTCTTTGATATGCTGAATCTAACCATGTATTTAGATTTTTTATTTGTGGACCCGCTATCAAATTGGTTCATATTGAGGTCAAAAGGGTCCAAAATTAAACTTTGTTTGATTTCATCAAAAATTGAATTATTGGGGTTCTTTGATATGCCAAATCTAACCATGTATTTAGATTTTTAATTTTGGGTCCCATTTTTAAATTGGTCTACATTAAGGTCCAACGGGTCCAAAATTAAACTTAGTTTGATTTTAACAAAAATTGAATTCTTGGGGTTCTTTGATATGCTGAATCTAAACATGTGTTTAGATTTTGGATTATGGGCCCAGTTTTCAAGTTGGTCCAAGTTGGAGTCCAAAATTAAACTTTGTTTGATTTCAACAAAAATTGAATATATGGGGTTCTTTGATATGCTGAATCTAAACATGTATTTAGATTTTAGATTTTTGGCCCAGTTTTCAAGTTGGTCCAAATTGGGGTACAAAATTAAACTTTGTTTGATTTCAACAAAAATTGAATATATGGGGTTCTTTGATATGCTGAATCTTACCATGTATTTAGATTTTTTATTTGTGGGCCCGCTATCAAATTGGTTCATATTGAGGTCAAAAGGGTCCAAAATTAAACTTTGTTTGATTTCATCGAAAATTGAATTATTGGGGTTCTTTGATATGCCAAATCTAACCGTGTATTTAGATTTTTAATTTTGGGTCCCGTTTTTTAAATTGGTCTA